GGCCCACCAGTGGCCGAGTGGTCTTCGTACCCTAAACACTGGGAGTTTGGTCGTGGGTTCGCGCCGCGATCGGACAGGCTGGCTGCTTGGAGTTTTCCGGGTTTTCTCCTTGCCAATAACGACTAAATAGGAGGCCAGTTCCCCGTAAAAGTCTTCCCGGAAGGCATTAGTTCCCCTCGCGTAACATCGCGCCCCAGAGAAGGCAACGGGAAACCACTCTGGGTACTAACTTTTCCTAGTAACGCCTTGGCATATTTACTAACTACTTACTAATCTGTGCCGGGTGTGGCCGAGGTCGGGAAATCCTGATACAGCACTATGAAATGAGTGGCGCTATCTGTTATATATTTTATTATTAAAAAGTTTTTATATTTTTAACTATTACAAAATGGAAAAAAAGCTTAATTTTGAGGGTAGGAATCGGGTTTATAAAAAATTTTAAACGCTAATAACGAGGAAAATTGTCATTAAGTCCGATCCTACAGAAGATACACACGACCCCCATTATCTCCCACCCGGCTGACCTTTAACCATCAAACTTTAATAGTATCAATTTTCTTAATAAACAAACCTCCCTGCAAAATTTCAGAAATTTTCGACAAAATGTCCAGGAGTTATTAAGTTTCGAAAGTGTGAACAAAATTATGCCCCCCGCACACAACATACACTAACATCCATACATACAGAAAAACCCCCGATTTTTTTGCATTTCATATTGGACGAAATTAAAATTACGATTGCAACAATTGTCGCAAACGAACTGGTCCAAAAGGATGAAGTAACCAATACAATTATTCAAATGAAAGCTGCGTCAGATCGCGATGAAATTAACGAAGCAATTATTAATTGTAATCAACGAAATGGATTGCTATCTTCTGTTAAAGTGTATTCGGAATCTGTTATACCGACGTATAATAATTTTACATTTCGAAGTTAATAGAGAGGTTGCGGCCGACGTTTTCAACGCAAAAACGTCGGTCGCAACCTCTCTAATGACTTAGAATGAGAGAATAACTTTGTGATTGATATAATAAAATACGTTTAGTCCAACATGAACGTGGACTGAACTAGCTAGAATTCTAGAGGTGGGTGGAGTCAAGCAGCAGTTAGAAACGAGTTAAATGTCGTAGCTTAACTATACTTAGCAAGAATTCTGCGTTAATGAACACGGTCCAGGTCTACAGTAGGCACAATCTTAGCTAAGAAAGGTATAATCAAGAAGACTCGAGCAGCTAAAGGAGTAACGAAAATCATATCTGAGAAACAAAGATGGCACTAAAGATGGCATCTATGAAAGATGGAGAGATTAAATTAGTTTTTTATTACATGTAAATAAACTTGCAAGTTAGTAAAAAACTATATAATTTTTAATTTATTTTTTGAGGTTTCCAGAACGAATTAATCAAATTCCCATAAAAATCTATGGTAAATCGATAATCGGTTAACGAACAATTCGGATAGCGAACAGTCTTGGAACAGATTATGTTCGTTAACTAAGAAATTAAATATACAAAGAGAAAAAGGGTAAAGGTAACATTATTCTTTTATTTTATTTTACTTATTTATTATTTTTTGCAGATGACATTGTCGTGGCGCCATCAAAAACTTCTCTGCAAAGGAAAATCAATCAATTTCATTTATGTTGTTAATTAAATCATTGTATTTAACAACAAATCACGATAAAACACCATTAATGCTTTTAAATAACAATAGGAAAATTTTAAAAAACGATAGGATTAACATTAATATTTTAATTCACTTGAGTTTATTAAAACTCCTTCAGTAAAGCGAAAATCCCACTTTAAAGAATCAATCAAATTTCAATGTCATCCACTGCTGTACGATTCCAATGTGTTTACACACACTCTTTAAATTAATCAGTCTGAAGATGATACAATTAAAAAAAATACACAATCTTAACACAACATAATGCTTGACTATGTTATTTTAAGATTCACTAAACACTACAGCAAAGAATAAATATTAATATGGTTATATCCCCACTACGACTTTTTTAAATTTTATTTTTACTAAATTATCGTTTGTATTATGCTTCGCTGTAGCATTTAGCGAAAAGATTTCTTAAATACAGTAGAACCTCTATTATCCGGACTAATTGGGGATGAAGGTAGTCCGGATAAGGATAAATCCGGATAATCAAAACAAATACTTTAATTTGTCTTTTAATGATAATACAACACGTTTTATTTTGTATGGTGCATATCGGTAATATTAAAAGTAAATACTGTATTTAAACCGTACAAATCAGCAAATTCGTAAAATTTTTGTTTATTTTGAACAATCCGGATAATCGAAAATCCGGATATTGGAGGTCCGGATAATGGAGGTTCTACTGTAAATGTATGTATTGAAAGATATTGAAAAAACATTTATAATATATTGAGTTTTCTTGCCGTAGCGCTTATTTTAACAAATTTCTGATAATATGGTAGCCGGAAAAGTAAAAATGCTATTTGTAAACGTGAACTATGTAACACTTTATAATAATATGTCCCTTATATATATCCTCACAGAA